TGGGACAGAATGTTATTTCTGCATGAAGAGTTCACAGCCCACTGAAAATGTCATTACAATTAGCTCGTGCATGTTTATTTGAGAAATTTAAGCATTAATACTCGTTCATTTGTACAAATTTGCATTTTTATATAAAATACTTTTCTGTGCTTCTTAAAGCTTTGTTTCTTAGTAATAGAAATATGAAGGATCACTGCCATTGATAGAGACCTTGTAATATAGAGAAGAACTTATAATGCAGCAACAATAATAATGGGCTTAATATAAAACAACAGGAACAAATATTATACGAAATTGAAATAATTTAAATTTCCATTGCTGGAACAAGAAATTTTCTTTATGATCAAGACTAATTTAGCTCAGTTTTGCATAGCATGAATAACCTACTTTGACAGGCAAATGAAATATCAATAGATTAAGTGACTATTACAAATCATCAATGACTATACCAGGCCAGTACATCTACTGATAATTTAGTTAATGGCATTAAAATTTTACAAGGATGAATTAATTGCCAAATGAGTCTTTACGTACATGGAAGAAGTATATCTAAAGTGCATTTGCAAAACCACTGAGGTGATACCAGAAATTGATATGATTATTTTTCTTTCAGATGCTTCAGACTAGGCTGTTTTCACATTATTGGAGAAAACAGCAAATGAAAAGGCAAATGTATATAGCAACAGCACCCATATCTCACAAAGGAATAGAGGAAGCCAGAGGCCAGTGAAGAGCTACAGAAATAAAACAGACGAGATCCAGACAGGATTTTTAAATCCAAGGAAGTTGATTCTGGTGTATGCTCTAATATGAACAGTATTTTTTGAGGATGCAGTGATATAACAGCACAGGAGTAACATATGACTTACAATGGACTCTAAAATTGACATTTGGGAAGGCCATGTGGAAGAGAATAACAGAGTGAGACAAGTTGAAAGTATGGATGTCAGTTGAAAAAAGCAGGTCTTAAAGATGTATGAAATGCTGCGCAGGCAGCAAAAAAACCAAACCATAAATGTTGAGTAGAGTAAGGTATTTTTTGTGATGGTGATTTCCTTTTAAAAAGAAAATAGAGTTAGCCCAACATCAAAATTAGGATGACTGCAGTTCATCCTGAAGGATACATCACAGCTAGAAAGTCTGGAATAGGATGGGATACTGAAATACTGAAACTACCAACTCCTAGGAAAGTTTGTAACTATTTTTTGTTAAGTCTAAAATAACAGCAGCATTCCTTAGCTTTTCATTTTGTGAGAGTGTGATATTTCAACTTTTCATCTCAATTTGTAAACAAGTAAAATACTAAAATATTTTCATTTTCTGACAGTTATTCTGAGTGGATTCCTGTAGGTTTTTGTATGTTTGCTGTTTAAAGAAAGAGGATGAAAACTTTGGGCATTGAAGTAGTGCCTGTATGTGTAGGAGAGAAGCAAAAGGAAGATTAAACCCTAGTAGGTAAGTGGATACAAAGTCATGCCTGAGGATGTTCCTCCTCCTCAAAAGCAGATCATGTGTCTTCAAATATTTATAAAAAAAAATTCTGACAGAACTCCAATTTCCCACACCACAGGAAGAAAATGTAGAGAGGGAAGAGACATTACAGATGTTGTAATACCTACAGTCTGAACAAAGGAGACATCTTTTCTTTGGCAACAGTGAGGAACAAGGGCACAAGTCAAATTCCACTTTCGCTTGCATTTTTGTGCCCCTTCGAGGCTACTCGTACCCCTCAAGACCATAAGAGTACAGCATCAAGTACAGCAAGCAAGAATTCCCCTCCACCCAACTATTTTGGTCTGTGAAAGCCTTGAATTGTAGTCATGCTAACCATCTGAGCTATACTGAAAGCAGGACAGGGACTCTGCTCATGAAATACATGAAAGAAAATTTGCTGCGTAACTGAACGTTGGCAGGCTTGAGCTGCATTGCCTTTGCTGTTAAGATTCATTTATCTTCACAGGTTATCTGCTATAACTGCACCCAAGTACACTTTACTAATTCTCTCTGCTAGGAAAAATAACACAGTTCTTGGAATCCAAACACAAAACTATTTTCACTCATTTATTTGTCTCCAATTTATAATTTACCCATCTAATTACAGCAATAATTAAGATGAAGAATTTAATATAAGCATTTCCATAGGTACCCCCTCCAATCCACTGAAATTGTACCAGAGGTTATGCCGGGAACCCATGTCTGTAATAATGGATTTTCTATGTTACATAGCCAAATCCTGCACCCAAAAGGAAGCGTACAGTGGAAATTCTCTCCCATACTTTTACAGCAACTGTCAGCTTTCCCAGACAACTGGCATCCTGTGCAGACTCTACAACACAATCTGTGTCATCTCTTTGTACCGAATTCACTGTGTATTTGCAAAAACTGCATATATTGCTTTATCTTTCCAGGATTATCTTGGATTTCAGCATCTGAAATCTGGTAACTCTACAATTACTCAGAAAGGCTGCAGATTCTATGTTATCTGTACACATTTACATTTCACCTAATGTCAACTCTGGTTAAACAGAATTATTGATATCACTAGCAGGAAGTATAATTTTGAATTTGTTTTGTTGCTAGGGCTAAAATAATATAGGACAATGAATTAACCATAGCTACTTGTATCAGTAAAGTGTATGGAGTGTTTATAGCATAACAGAGATTTATCACCATAAGAAACACTGACATAAAATAGAAAAGAACAAGCTACAGGAAAGCATCTCAACTGAATACAAAGGAAGAAAAAATAATAATGAAAGGCAATTTTTTTCTCCTTTTTACCCTGCTGGCTAAAATGTATCAGCTTGAACTCCCCCAAAAATCCAACAAAAATTCTCATTATTATGCTATGCCATATTTATGGAAGCTGACCGAGCAAAATATAATAGAATATGTTAAAAAAATAAAATGAAACATACTACTATGAGAAGACAGAGGTTGAGGACCTGTGTACGCTAGACCAGTTTGAGAAAGATGCTTACTATATATTACTGCACTGAATATGTCAGGCTTGTTATTCTTTTACTAGCCACATTCCCTGGGTGGTGAATTACAGAAAATCAACATCTAATACAATTCACCTTCCTCGCTTCGAGTCTCAGTAAGTTTTTTCATGCTCTTCAGTTTTTTTCCACTGGAATTCAAGGTTAGAAAATGTACCAGCTATGGATACAATTTTACTTCAAAAGGGTAAAGCAAAAGTAAAATTTTCAAAGTGAAGAAAACAAAGGAATGTTGGATTTTATAGGTTACCTTCGCTGATGAGCTTTCTCCGTGAATGCACTAAGCAGTGCATTTAGTGAAATAACAGTGCCCTCTAGTGCCTTTATTAAGCATATTGTTCAAACCTTATTTTCTTTTCTTAAATAAAGCAACATATCAAAACACCACATTCAGTTTGAAGATGATGTAGAATAAAATGACTGTGTTAACCTAGTTATCAGTTCTTAACAGGATTATTTTTCCTACTAATTTCTAATTCATATACTGAGAAAAAAAACAGATTAAATACATACACATACATACATATATATATGCATAAGTGGTACTTATTATTGCAAAAAATGTGAAAGAATAAAGCGGATGCTTTCTCTACAGCAGCAAAAATAACGTTGAAATATTACATTGCCTCAATAAACGTCGACCATATTTACAGGAATGCAAAAATGAGAAAGAATGTGGCAGAAATTTCAAATACAATTTTGAGAATGGAGTGTGAGCCATCGAAAAAGCTTTAATTTATAAACCAAGCATTTCTGATGAAGAGGCTCTTATTGAAGATTATGACATATCAAGATACAGTTTTCACAGTCTTTCTTACAATCTTAATAGCACTTTCAAGTGAAGCAAACATGTAAAATATCACAAAATCCAAAATAATTACTAAGGTCAGCTCATTATCTACGACTTAGAGGTAGTTAAAAGAAAATCCAGCAAGGAATAAGCTCTTAATGGAATATTAATATCTACTTTGAACATCCTGGCTTTTGAAATATTAAATTTTCTTTGACTCTTAGGAAATTTTGGTTTTTCTAACAAGAACTTTTACAAAGAATGTTAAAATACACAAATTTTCACATGACCAGAACATATTTTCTTATGTCTTATTAGGTGTGCAGTATTTTAAAATTATACTTATACATCCTTTCAAAAAGATATTTTCCTCTGATGCAAATTAGCTTTTCAGAAGGCCATCCTTACAACTAATACTATTACTTATTTTAAAATACACACATTTATCAGTTTGGTTTATAAAAATGGAACTTAAGAATCTAGCTGGACATATAAAATGTAGGTTTAGATCTATAAAACAAAGTTTATCCCACCCTGCAATTGAAATTACAACACATTCTGTACTTAGGTGAGTATATGTTTATGGTTCAATACATCTGGCAACTTGTATTTATAACTGATTCATTAGAGGACTGCCACATAAAATTGCTTTACTTACAAGATTTTTTATGATATCAAAATACCACATTGTATTTAGTTTCCCAACAAAAGGTAGGTTTTATGTGGAATACTGAACAGTGGGGGACAGGTCAAAATGCTCCCCCATTCCCTAACACAGAGACCATCAGTTCTGCAAAGCCTTTGTAGTCATACTGTAAAGCTTAGGCTGTGGTTTCTGCATGCCACTTACATAACTTATGTTCATGTAAAGGTCAATCCTTTTCCATAGACATTTGAGAGCTTCTTTAGTCCCCCAATTATCTTTTGGTATATACCGGCCACTATGTGTTCTTACCATTTGCTACTTTTTTTCCTGTGGCATTTTCACACATTTAAAGTAGTACCTAACTGTGCAGAACTACTACTAAACCGGTATTGTCAGGCTATCATAAAGAAGATGTCATCTCTTGTGATCATATTAATTATCATCACATAAAACATTTCATATGGTGTTACAAAATTATACTGTACTTTACATACATGATTTATTCAGGTTGTCATTCAGTAATGACCCTCACTGTAAGTTATACAGGAATTACTGTACTTACTTTTGAGATCTAGATTTCTGGCTCCTGCTGTGCTCTGTGTTGTGATTTTAGTGTCAATCTTCACAGTGTGGAGATTGTTGATATCCCTTGATATCATCACATTATGCCACTGGTTGTCATTCAGAGGTTTATTAGAACTTCCTTTGATGAGATTTGCACCATTTCCCAAGTCAAACACATAGTGTAAATACCTAGGAAAAGAGAAAAAATTGGAAAAGTTTCCTTTTTCTTTACATAGCAAGGGGGCATTAATTAACATGTCTAATATTTCCTATTTCCTTATACTCCTCAGTAGTGCTGGTAAAACTGGAAGACAACAATGAATGCCAAATGGGGAAGCAACCTTAATTCAGAGTAATCACCATTCATTTAGATGTGCTGAGGTGCAGTCCTAAGTTTCTGGAAAGTAATGAGCACTCCATGTACCAACACATGCATACATACATAGAGACAGAACAAGAGGAAGGCTATAAACTAGTACTTCTTTGTGGTAAACACTGTAGAAGTTATACCTATTATTTACTTTAATATTTTTCAGGCATCTAGCTTCATCTGAAAGAAAAAGTCACAATAAAGCATATGAAGTTTAACATGAAGAAACATTCATCAATCATATATGTCCAGTCAGACAAAGATTTGTATCCCAAACTTTCCCTTGTGTTTCTCCTGTATATATATTTTTTAAGAGAATTCTTCTGAAGAGACTTCTTTTGTCATTATGCTAATCCATACATACCCTTTTACTAGTTCAACCACAATGAAATCATTTCCATCGCCACTGTTATAAAGTATCAATCCATCCAGAGAGGTTGTTTTGAACTGGAAAAAAAGGTGCATAGACGTATATGCTTGTAGCGTGGCCAGTGCAACATAACTTGCTTTTGTTTTAAAGGTTACAGGGTCTGCTATGATGTTCCTGAATCCAAATCTTGCATTTAGCTCACAATAATCAATGTCTCCATTTTTACATAAGTCAATGTATGCCATGCCATTAAATGTAAGACTCTGTAGATGCCCAATGAAATTAGAAGGCACAGAAGACAGGTAGCGCCGTTCTGTTATTATTCCTGTTTCTATGTTGTGGAATTCCAGTCGCGTGTGATCACCAGCCATTTGACCTTTAAATAGTAACAAGAAAACACGTTAGCATCTGAAATGGGAGGTCAAAAAGCACACCATGTGATTAAGTATCTGCATCAATTTCACACTTTTCAGAATGTGCAAGGCCAATTCTTGGCTCCAAAGAGGATTCTTCTAAATTCATCCAAACTTCTGGTAAACATCTGGGAGCCTTTCTACTGAGTTCAGTATGTTTGTATAAGGCCAACAGCAAGATTTCTAAACTGAAGCACAATACCATAGTATATCAAACTGCCAACAAAATCCCTCACTTCGGTTACACTTAACCAGACATGTAGTTTTACTATAAGCAAGTGTAATTAATTAAAACAACATGAAGAACACAAAGGCAAATCTCAGAGCTAAAACTACAATGCTAAAGTTTCATGGAAGAGAGGCATAACAGTTTGGGGGATATTACTCCATGCGTTTTGCTTAAAAGTGCATGATTTGGCAAGTGGAAGGAAGGATTCCTGTCTAAGCTGTCTTAGGTACATTAATGTTGGCCCTGATGCAAAACCCTGTGCTGCAAGGATGGACAGAGCCTTCCTTAAAATCAACTAGCTTTATACCATGGGGATAAACCGTGGGAGAAGGGGGCAGAGCCTAAGAGATGGACGAAGCAGAAAGCCTGCAGCAAGGGTGTATGCCAGTGTCTTGTAATCCCGAAAATAGCGAGGGACTTGCTTACATCAGAAAGGTGGCCAAAACCAAGCCTCACAGCTTTGAGTCTTTCTTTGTCATGCAAGGACTCCTGCACAGCAGAAAGCCTGAAATTTGCTGACTGTACAGCTAATCTGAAGGAAAGGATCAACACTGCCAAGGTACAATGCGTACAGGTCAGGTAAGTTTTTAAGCTAGTTATTAAATACCTTACCCAGCACATCAAAATGGTGTCCGCTGAAGAGTTCCCTTTTCTAACAGAGCTTAGATTTTTTTCCACGCTTATTTTAAAGAAGTAGGGCAGTACTATCACAAGGCTGATTCATGGTCACATTGTGTGGGTATGATGACAAAACACCTTTTTATTACTAATCAATTTTACCACTTAATCTACCTTTTGCAAACTACGGACTAGACTTCCCAGTTCCTTAGATGTTTCGTGTCTCTCATGGAGTACAAAGAAGGTGAACAGCAGACCCAGCCAAGCTGGAATAAGTGCTGGCATAAAACTGCTCTGTAATACAAGTTCTCACAGTTGCAGTGCAAAGGTGTTGATGGACCGAGTTCCCTTTGTCCTTCCCTGAACACACTATTCCAAGAGGAGAGTGTGAGCCCTGACCCAGGCTGGATGTGTTTAGTGGTGGTGCAGAAAGCCCTGAGGCAGGCTTAGACAGCTGTACCTTCATAGGTTTTATAAGCAAGTGTCTGTGAACGCATGTGTGAACAGGGAAAGAACAAGGGCAAGATGAATGTAGGCTTTGCCCAGGGAGATGGATTCACAAACAGGTTAAGTCACAGCACTGATACACAAATACAGGTATTAGTGAAGTTACAGTGAAAACAGGTCTGCAAGCTTTAATACAATTAAAAAAAAAAAAAAAGAAAATTGCTCTAATAATTTATGATAAATATTTACAAGCAGCTTGCTTAGCTTCAGGATGCATTCTGACCTAACTCTACTGATGTCATTGAACATATCAGTATCTGAGAGCTGCAGTCATACAGGCTGAGCATTGCAAGAGGCACCTTTGATGCCATCCCCAAGGACAGCCTTCTTGATGTTCTTGTTTCTAAATATCAGTTCTGAGGATACCACTTCTCCTGATGTATTAGCAAAGGTGGGTTCTTCCTTGCAGTAATGAGTCAGGGAGCTGTCTTGAAGAATGCCAAATCTGTAACTTTCTGCAAGGCCAAGAGCTGTATATTGGATCACAGCCAGAGAGCTGAAGATCATGTTTTAGAGGAGGAACACGATGTATTCCAGTCTTATATCACTTCAGATGGCATTGCATAAATGTCATGGCAAAAATCCACCAAGCTTTAGCCTGTAGCACAGTATCCTCACTACATTCACTACCTTAAATGTATTTCTTTCTTGAGCATAGTAATAAAAAAGTTCCAGAATCTGGGCTCACATCCCAAATCTCCCTCTATCATTTCAGTTGAACAAACATGCTAACAGGACTTGAGACTTCACATAATGCTCCACAGCATTTGCAACTACAGCAATGAAGAAAAAGAGAGAGACTGCAGTTTGTGCTCACAAGGTTGGTTTTTTCGTTTTTTTTTTTTTTAACTTGTCAGGTTGGTGCACAAAATGCATTACCTGTTGCAATGCCATGGGACACAAAAAAGGCCAAGTGAATTTCTGTTCAAAACCATAAGCTAGGTATCCTTTCCATTATCCAACTGTAGTCACCTCCTTCAGTCCACTTTTGTTTTCTATACATTTCCAGAAAACAAAGTGCATCAGGGCTGTAAGTATTTAAACTCTTCTATGATGAGTAAAATTTTCAAAACTACCTGTATGACATCCAATGAAAGCTAGTTATGATTCTGAAAGATATTATTTATCCATGCACAAATTATGCATTCGTCAAAGATAACTAAGCTCAGTACATGGATGAACAGGTGATGTTTTATAACCTGTAAAAAATAGAAAGTGAGGCTGAATTATTTAATGGCTTCCGCTCCAGCTTAAGCTTTCTAGATCTGATGGGTTTTTTTCATATGTGACATAGGAAATGGAATCAAAAAAGTAAAACACAGTGGGTGGCAGGGGGAAGCTGGAATTTTTGGGATAAAGTCCATTTTTTCCTCATGCTCCCATAAGATTATAATAATCTTTCACATGAATAACTACTAGGTTATATTTTAGCCACGTTTCTGATTGTTGAGACATCTGAAGAAAAGTTCTAAGCAGTTTAGAGCAAGAGCACTCCAATCTGATATGGCAACTCTTCCACTACCCCTTCAGGCAATTCACAGTGAATTCCATGTAGAAAATGTAATATTCCTTGGACTAACAGCAGGTTTCCTGTGTTATCAGACTTTCAAGTTCCCTCTAGCTCCTTCTCCCATGCCAGTTCCCTCCTCGCTGATGGAGGAGGCCACAGATGGACCACACAGCTTCCTGCAGGGAGTTTAGGAAGACTTTGCTTCATCAGGAGGCAACTGAAAAGACTCAAAGGCTTTGACAGCTAGAACAGGATAGTTCAGTTGGAAGGGACCCACAATGATCATCTAGTCCAACTGCCTGACCACTGCTGACCAAAAGTTAAAGCATGTTATTAAGGGCTTATGCCTCTTACGAATGCCTCTTAAACACTGACAGGCACAGGGCATCAACCACCTCTCTGGGAAGCCTGTTCCAGTGTCTTAGCTATTTGCTGAGACCATGATATATGATAGTAACTACAGTTATCCACAATGAAGAGTGATTACAAGAACTTACAGCCCTGCGGTTCTTTACTTATTACTTCACCTGACTAGACTATATATGATAGAAACCTCCTGTTTTATCTTAATCCCTCATATATATTTTGAACATTTCTGAAGCTGTGCTGAGCAGCTGGGACTGAACCCAAAGGTGAAAACAGTACTTCTTGGTAGTTTTGTAACCTGTACTATTTGTAAATAAAAAAATCTGCCACGAGGAGCCCAGGAAATCTGCATTTGGTTTCAGATGCTGTGTTTTATTCAGATCTAAACAGCTTCCTCTAACTAGAAAACGTCCCCAAAGTAGCCTTATTATTTGAGTTGCCAGTTGAAGCATCAAGATGATAATATTTTTCAGTACAGTTCCTCCAGTACTATGTATTTATTTTCACAAAGGAAATAACTGGTTTAGGCCATCTGCTTTCTTGGGAGAATGCCCCAAAGCATCATCACATACACAGACCAAATTTTTGCTTCACCTCTGGAAGATCTGTTGGTAATTTCTGATTCTAAAAAGTATGTTTTTGCAGCTATATGAATACATAGCATTTATTTTTCTACTAGTGACATGGTCTTCAGTGTTCTGCTGAGGTGAAAGACTACTAAAGAAGATGCTTTCCTTTTAAAAACCCATTAAAATAGTTACCATTTTAACAAAGTTAAAACTAATGATAAAAGCTATTTAATACTATATGAAAACAAAGGAAAATGCTAAATAGCTAACACAAAGTTAGGCACATTGTATTGTGTAAGGAAATGGGGCCAGAAGTCAGGTCTGTTGCTAATAACGACATATATGTAAGCCTTATCTTTAACAGAACAAAATCAAAGTCTTCTCTATTATCATTTCTGATAATATACACATAGGAATGTATTTCTAAGATCTGCTGGCATTCATGCCATGTTTTTTCTCCCATCCCAACTACTATTTTAGTATTTGAGAAAAACCTGTTGCCTAACATTTAATTATTGAGGACAGCTGATGCAAGATTTAAAACACAATAGAATATCCTTCAAACATTTATGAAATTCTTTCTTACAACAATAGCTTAGAGTTTAACCTTAGTATAAATTCAGTGTGTTGCCAAAAGCATTTTACTTGCCTTCTCATTAGTGATATATCAAATGACTTCTCTCCAATTACTGTATAAAAACATTCATTTAAGTCAGCATGAAGGTTTTCATTAACTTCAGTAGCAATGTTAGAGTAACATTAATATCAAGTGTAATAACGCACTTGTAGTAGCAGTATTTCAAGACGCATAACATGGATTTTTGATCTTACCCAGGAAAAGAAAAAAGTATCTGTTGCTTTCAGAGAAAGGCATTTTACTTCTGTCATTTTTTGTGTTTCCCCCCAGTAACACGGAGTCACAATGCCACACTACCTGTCATGGCCTGCTGGTCATCCACCATTAACTTTAAACTTTTTCCTCGCCGAACCACACGCACTGTGTGCCACTCATTATCATTGAGGTTATAGCCAGCAAAAAGGGTTTCTGGACCTTTGCCTGTAGGATATGCCAAACAGTCATTATGCAATCTTTAAATCAGTTTACATGTGAACCTCACAGAGAAAGAGAGAGAGAGACAGAGAGACTGGCTGGGCAAATGTTAAGAGTCACATCAAGCAAGAAAATTACAGAGTATAAGCAAGTCTCAAAATATAGAGCTAATATGTTAAAACACTTCTGCTGTATATTTAACTATATAAATGTATTGTATATGCACATTTAATGAACCAGGTTGTCATAAATAGGCACAGTCAACATGGATTTAGTTATACATTTTCCAGTCATGGAAGAAATGGGATTAGTGCAGCCAGAAGAACTCAGCATGTGTTTACAAGACTGGATTTTTGTTCCTTCATTAAAAATAGTTTGGGGAAAAGGTACAAATGGTAAATATATGTGCACATGTGTTATATTTTTCTTAATTTATGTCAGCTTCTCAGCCTATGTTTATTTATTAGGACTTCTCAGAAGATCATCTATTACCTTATCATCCAGATGACTCGTTAATGTTCAGATCCAGTACCTTCTGGTGTTAGTGGGCCTCCAAATCATACCTTCTTTTTTCATTTAATGGATACCTTTTTTGTAGCTGTTATTTTTGTAAGCAGTAAAACAAACACTTTCGAAGCAAATGTAATTCTATGTATAGCACAATATACTTGCAATAACTGAAGTATTCACAAACCTAGGAAACAGGATATCTTTAATACCTACGAAAAAATCTCTTAGAAGAAAATGATTATGGAAATTTCCCTTGCGCTGTTGACCAAGAAGAGAAAGAAAGAGAAAAATCCTGGCTATGAAGTATCATTGATATGAGTAGGTGATTGACCAAGTGCTGAACCAGTCAATCAAAGCTTCTGTGCTCAAACCTGAGTTATTGGACCTATGTGGCGACTGTCAAAAAGGTAAAGCTAATCCGCAATTAACAAATTACATTCTTGCAAGATAGAGACCTCCCTGCCCTGTTTTTCAGTTCCTGTGGCATAATCAAGGCTGCTGATAACTGAGAGATGTATAATAAAGTAACATTTGACATGAAAACATTAGGGTTGCACCAAGTCAGACCATTACCTCCACTACGTCTTTTCAGGTGACCACATTGCACGTGTCAGCCTTCTTTCAAAAAGGGATAGGGCACTGGCTCTGAAACTCTCCCACATTTCTTTTGGGATTCTTTTCCACCCAGTGCAGGCTAACTGTGATGGAAGAGGTCTATTAATAAATGGCTACTATATGACATTGCCTAAAATCAAAGCCTCTCTGACTTCAGGACTGCACAGAGGGAAAAAGCCATTAATAGCTTGATGTAGCTGTTCAGCATATTGGACAGTTTTCATCTCAGACTTTTTCCATTTTCTATCAGCATTTTTTTAATTGCTGCTGATTGATTGCCCTGCTTTTATATGCAATCTTTTTTATTTTGAGTATGTCAAGGGATCTCTAGGAATAAATTACCAGCTAACAGCAAAGGCAGTGAGAGTCTGATAACATCATGTTGGTTTCTCTATGCCTCTGTATTGACACTAGCTTAGGAAAGGTGTGCAAACCCAGCAGAAAGAGATGTATATGTACTCACTGATATCAACTACCAGAATCGTTCCATTCCTTCTGCATTTACTTTCATTGACAAGAGAAAGACCAGTTTTGCATAAAGCTTAAGTGAATAATGTTCTCTTTGGATACGTTGATATAGATGCAGTGAATAATGCTATTTAAGCAATTTCTATTATTCTATATTTTATTGGGGGCTTCAGTGGAAGGAATTTCTAACTAGATTTGGGAGACAAGGGATGGATTTACAAAAAATGCTTAAATGACATGAGTAAAAATCTTAGTGAGAGTCATTAGGCCTGCCTAGAAATACGTCACTTACTATTATTTCAAACATGTTAGCCCTTCTTCATTTTAGTTCAACTCCTTTTTTTTTTCTTTAAAATTTTTAAGTAGTTGAACTACTTAGTCTCCCTTTTCCCACAACAGATCTCTAAAAGACCTAAAAGCATATGCAATTTTAATTTGCTCTCACATTAACAACCTTCTGTAGTGTCCCATTCATGTTGAGGTGCCTCAGTGTATATAAATATCAAATCCAACCTGATTGCTCACATTCATACAGGCAAATATGTTTATTATCTTTTAATGGTTAACAACTTGTAAACTCTTCCTGTTGTAAAATTAAATGTATATTTTCCTGTGTATAAGTCTATTTCCTTTGCAAGTGTACACCAAGTAAAAAAATCAGGTCAGAACTACCTGTGAGCTGCCTTTCTTCGCAGTGCACGCAATCCAAAACTGGATTAAGGGGAACTATGGTGAAAGGACCATGAAAGGGATGAACCTGGGTATAACACACTATGGGAGCAATGCATTGAAAGCAGTCCTGGCCTTGTAGAAACTAGTTACCTTGCACAGAAAAGAGGCTTTTCTTTCCTGAAGCCGATCTCTAAGAGAGAAGAGGGGTTTTCAGTTTGTCAGAGAGAGTACAAGGAACTACAAAATAGCAAGACCCAGTGTGTCCAGGTATTGTGTAGGTACCCATCACATCAAGTTGCCTTTCTGCAAACTAGCATAATTTTCCATGGCAGTTGGGGAGGTGGACGGGGAAGGATGGATGCCCACTATTCCTGTAGAGAATGTAGCACTTGGGCTGCTTCCCGGCCAAGAACATGCTTTTGTATATAAAAGTAGTAAATGTGCTTGAGCAGTGTGTTTAAGACAAAATTTTCTAAATGCTTAAACACAAAAACATGTAGTCCTTGATACCACACAAGAGTACAAGGACTGCAGAAGGAAACTCTTAATACATCTTGTTAAATGGCATTGGCTAACCTCAAACATAGTTTGTATTAGTACTTTCCTCACTGACTTTCAAATACATTGACCTGAAATTAATTTAAACATTATATTATTGAGATCATAACAGTTCAAGGGCAACAAGAAAACCTTCTATAGGTACGTTGGGGATAAAAAGAAGACGAGGGGAAAATGTGGGCTCTCTCTGGAAGGAAACGGGAGACCTGGTTACCTGGGATATGGAGAAGGCGGAGGTACTCAATGACTTTTTTGCCTCGGTCTTCACCAGCAAGTGCCTGAGCCATACCACCCAAGCTGCAGAAGGCAAAGACAGGGACTGGGAGAATGAAGAGCTGCCCACTGTAGGAGATGATCATGTTCAAGACCATCTAAGGAACCTGAAGGTGCACAAGTCCATGGGACCCGATGAGGTCCATCTGCGGGTCCTGAAGGAACTGGTGGATGAAGTTGCTAAGCGACTATCCATCGTATTTGAGAAGTCGTGGCAGTCCGGTGAAGTTCCCACTGACTGGAAAAGGGGAAACATAACCCCCATTTTTAAAAAGGGAAAAAAAGGAAGACCCAGGGAACTACAGGCCAGTCAGTCTCACCTCTGTGCCTGGGAGGATCATGGAACAGATCCTCCTGGAAGCCATGCTAAGGCACATGGAGGACAGGCAGGTGGTTTGAGACAGCCCGCATGGCTTCACCAAGGGCAAGCCCTGCCTGACTAACCTAGTGGCCTTCTATGGTGGAG